GTGTGTGTGTGTGTAAGTCGGCGTGTGTGTATGTGTGTGTGTGTATGTGTGTGTGAGTGTGTGTATGTATGTCTGTGTGTGTGTGGGTGTGAGTTTGTGTGCGTATATCTGTGTTTAAGTTGTTGTCTCCTTATTCCATGTTGAAACACTATACATTATTCTCTAGCCCAAGAACCAAGCCAAGCTCGTACCAGTTTAATTGTTATTGATTTTCCATTTAATTTGTTTGAGTTTCTAGACATGCAATGAAACGAACAATTCCTTTTCCTAAAAAGCAAAAATTTGTTTTCTTTTTGTAGAAGTAAAGAAGCAGGACCGGATTTCGTGGTGAAGAAATGTGTTTTTGTAAATAGAAGACCCGAATTCGATTCCAGTTTAGGGAGGATGATTTTCGTCAAAAAACTCGGTCTATTCCAAGGACCGTGTATCTGCCTCATCTGAGATTGTCTCTTACAGGGAAGGGTTGAGGGTTGCGACATAAATGACACAATTTTTGTCTTGATCGAAGCCTGCATAAAAAAAAGAAAACAGATTGGAAAGATTTTGGAAAAGAGGAAAGAAGGAAGAGACTATCATCCCTGCGTTTTGCTGTCCGTGTATAATCCATTTCACACGTTTTGAGTTACAGCGAAAAAAATTTGTTATAGAGCCAAATATTTGAATAATCGTTGCATAATGCTGGACATTTGATATTGCAAAAGTAAATTAATGTGAGACATTTAATTTGGATTTAATTTGTTTTCTTCTTCATATTATACTTTACGCGTTTGTAATCAATTTTTGTCCCGGGCTGTAAACGTGATTATTCCTGGAGTGGATATCCGCTGGTAGAGAAGTGTGATTTCTCACTCTAAACCGTCAGCCGTAACCGCGTTTGTAACCTAGGATTTTTTTTCTCTGTTCATGTATGTCGAATTCTAGGTCGCCAATATGAAGGAAGATATCTTCGCTTTTCATGAAGTATAATTATTCACAACTGGTTATCAAAATATCTTGATGAGCAATGCAGTACGCTGGAGAATAACACAACTATAAGCAACAAAATAAATGAAAGTAGATTTTATGTAGGAAAAAAGGCGTTCAAAATTGTTTGTGTGTGTGCATATTATAATTCAAAATATGGTAATCAACTAAAGAATTCACTCTTCTTTCACTAATTCTTTATGTTTTGTTAAAGTGAAGAAAACAGTATCAGCGTAAACGGCCATCTCAACTTCGAATTTCACGCGGTAAGGGCAAAAAGGAAACTGGAAACATTTCATCCGCGGTTAGGGAAGTGAAAAGAAAATATTATGACTTTCATTGTTCATAGGTCATCCAAATTAAAATAGATCACAGATGAGGGTATTTTTAGTTAAAATCGGATTCTAAAAAAATGAATTTTCGGATTTTTGATTATACGCGGAGAGCGAACGGCAATGACACTATAATGCGGTAAAAAATTCGTGGTGCAACTTATCCTCAAATATCTCTTTAACGGGTGAATCAATGTCATCCATACTTTGCATAGCAGTTTGCATTAATTTGTCTTAACGAAATCATATTTTTTTAGAACAAATGGGGCTAGATTAAAAAACTTTTCTTCGTAAATTTGTATAAAATACATGAAATCTCTGACACGCGTAAAATGGTATTGTTCACAGCACTTCGCGCTCCTCACACACATTTTTATTACGCATATGGCCTACGTCACATCCCATCAAAGAAATTTCTTACTTGCAAAACTTATTACAAGAAATTATTATTATAGTGAACACAGTTTTGCACTAATGGCTCTAAAAAAAATGCGTTCAATAAGCAAAATATCCCGATTAGAAAAACCTGACGGACTTACTATTATTAAAAGCTTATTGCCCCAGCTATAAACCTTTAAAAATCTGTAGAAACCACCCACTTGGATTTTTTATTTGTATTTATTAAGGAATTTTCTAGAATACAGCTTGCAGGTGTTTACAAAAATGTCGATTCAAGTCACTGTTCAAAAATTGGAGAACCTGTGTTCGATAGTTCAGGAGATATTTGAAAATCAGTTGCACCACGAATTTTTGACCGCACTATAAGCTAGGTAGTCAATGTTACACAAACAATCCTTTTCTTGCGTGCAATTTCATGATTTAAAAAGATGTGTATTACGGGTGAATTGAGAGGGAGTCTATTAAAAACTTTTCATATTACCCCCCCCCCCCCCTCCTTTCCACAGACTCACACACTCTTTTCACAAAAACAAACTGGAAACACACAGCTAGTAAAAACAATATGAAACAAATAACAAAACGAATACTCAGCAACAGAACAAAATACAACCCAAAACATAAGTACACACACATACACACACAAAGACACACACACACATACACACACACACATACACACACAAACACACACACACACATACACACACAAAGACACACACACACACATACACACACATGCAATGGTTACAATAAAATCACTGTTTTCTGTTCGCGTTCGTCTTATTTCTTCCAGAATTTTCTGGAGCAACGTCGCGATCTTGACATTGTAAAACGTGGTTGGTTCAAGAAAGCTTTCAACAAAGTCAAAGATGTCTTCAAAAACCCACCCAAAGTCCCTGTTCCTAACCTTCCTCCCGGGATTCTACCTGGAATCTTCGTAAGAGAGGTAAGAGAGGAGGCTGGTGGGATTATGTAAATGCGGATCAGTTAGGCGACATTTAGGATAAAAGACGGGGTTGTAGTTTTTATTATGCATTTTGAAAAAAGAAAGATTTTAGTAATTTTAACAAAATTATTGTTAATTCATTTATTTTTGTTGAGGAAGAAGGTGGTGGTGGTGGTGTGTGTGTGTGTGTGTGTATGAGTGTGTGTGTGTGTGTGTGTGTGTGTGTGTGTGTGTGTGTGTGTGTGTGTGTGTGTGTGTGTGTGTGTGTGTGTGTAAAGGGGGGGGGGGGTGTCTGGCGACAAGAGCTGTCTGACTGAAATGTTTGTTTATCTTTGACGTTTAACTTAAAGAAAAAAGGAAACAATCCGCAATTTTGTTGATTCTTATTTATTTATTTATGTATTTATTTATTTATTTATTTTACTAATTATTTTATCTATTATTACCCAGAGTGACCCATAGCGTTTCCCTCACTTGTAACATGACAGTCGTTTACTTGTAACAGGAGTCTCTGAACAGGCGTGACCTTGACATACAGAAGCGTGGATGGTTCAAGAAGACGTTCAAGAAGATCAAGAAAGTCTACAAAAAGGCACAGCCTTTTATTCCACTGGTGACTGCTGTTGTGGGAAAGCGTGATATGACTGAGGTAAGTAATTCCTTCCGTTGGTTGCTTTTCTTTTTTGTTTGTTCTTAGCCGTGTTATTTTGTGAAAATGTGTAAGGTTTAACGCCCTTGTCAACACTATTAGGTTATTTAAGAGGCGGGATCTCCGAATTTAAAGTCCATCTTCGAAAGGGCAAAGCGTTGATTTGTATACATATTATCTTCTGTCGTTGTTGATGCCGGTTTAAAAAAAAATAATTCATGGGGTGTTTTTATTAAATAGTATTCTTTTGTCACGCAGGATTGGGGGAGAGGTAAAGAGGTGATGTTTCTGCAATCTACATAGTGTTGCAGTGTGTATTTTGTTGTTGAAACAGTTATTATCTATTTCCATCGGTTTTTGCTGTCAACTTGTTTTTATCATTGACATTGTCGTCCTAGTTAATGCTGCCTTCCCAAGAACTGTCTGCCAACCCACCCCTCAAAAGAGAAAACAACACCCCAGCAAACAAACAAACTAACAAAAAAACCAATGAGGACCAAGTTAAAGGGCAACATCTCGAGTATCTTTTCGCCAATTTCAACTAACATCGAAAAAAAATAAAAGTCCACAGAAGGGACGTGAAAAAATTGGCAATAGGAGAAATATCAGTCAATGTGTCAAATGAGAAATACTAAGTATTTTAAAGATTAGACTTTTTAAAACGAGAAAACTAGTCTTATCAACTTCTCTAACTAAAATTCAATGTTGTATTGAACACTGTACAACGATAACCGAGTTATTGTCCGTCCTTGGAATATTTATCGTTGTTCCTGAAAGCAGCTGTCGTTGCTGCTGATGCTGCGATTACTGCTGTCAATGTTTCCATTACTGATTGCGAATGGTCAAAGGGTGCCTACCTCTTTTTTTTCCTTCAATTGTTTCTGCGGGTGAGTCTTAATTTTTCCTTTAAAAAAAGTAATTTATGTGTCTTTATCCCGTCCCCCTAAAAAATCGACACAGTTTAGATCATTAGATTGTTTTAAAAAGCAGAGTTTGACCCAACCTGCCAGGGCCAACTATGACTGAGAAGAATAAAACAACCCAACAGAAAAACCGAGATATTGAAGAAAACTTCCTCCCTTCCAGGAATCGAACTCGGGTCTCCTGTGTAAAACATCCATGCGCCTAACAGCTGCAGCACAGACAGGTCGTGCATTTATATTTAACTAGCTGGGCCCCCTTTCGATTAAAGGAATAATCGGTGCATTAACATCAACCGAAAGTCATTGGCCTACTATATTTACACTCTACTGGAATGCAGAAATAAGTCTTGAGAGATGCAAAAAATTAGAAGGTCTAGATCTAAATCTAGACTCTCATAGATCTAGACTCTCAAAACAAAATGCGCCTCGCAAAATATCACTTTCAAGCCGGATTTTCTAAAATTACAAAGACAGAAACGTCGGCCTACAAAGCGATCGGCGAAATAAAGAAATTTAGCTTTTTGCAGCAAAACTGTCTCAAAACTGAAAAAACGAAGGGCGTCATGATCTAGAGAATATTTTAAACAATCTTTTTGCGAAAACCGCATGTCGCTCGATGGAGCCGCTAAAAGCCTTTTGAATAGCAAAATTCGGCCACCACAAATAGATAATAGATGCGCCAAAGAGCAATTCCAAGAAATAGGAAACTGCAGTGGCACACGTAATGTGAGGATCATGACCTTCTAAAAGAATTCTAAACAACAATAGAGCATTATTTTTTATTTTTTCTTTCTTTCTTTCTTTCTTTCTTTCTTTCTTTCTTTCTTTCTTTCTTTCTTTCTTTCTTTCTTTCTTTCTTTCTTACAATCTATTCATTCATTCATTTATTTATTTATTTGCTGTAGCTACCTCTAACATGTTGGTGTTTTCAAATCCCTTTAGCTGCCAGCATTTCGCTCTTGGCAGCGCAATGCCTCCCTTAAAAAACCACATGTCCTTGTCATCTGGTCAACGCTAGAGTAGAGCAGACTTTGTAAGTCTGTAGGTGTGTGTAGGAGCCTGCGTCGAAGAACTGCCAGGTTTGGGCATTGAAGGAGAAGATGTTCAACGATCTCCTCGTGTTAGTCACAGTGTCTGCAAAGGGGTTTCCACATAGAGTTTATTCTGTTTATGTGCTTGTTGGTGTGTAAGTGTCCTGTGCGGGCCCTGAAGATCAAAGTCTGGTCGGCTCTACACAAGAGATTCAAGGGTCATTGGGGTTGGGTTTGTCCATGTACCCAAAGAGGGATCTTCGTCTTCCAGCGTTGGCCCATCTGTTTAGCCACTCGTCTCTGCTTTTGGCTTGGATGTGGCTTGGATGATCCCTCTGCAGGTCCGTAACGAGGCGGCCGTGCCACACTGCACATAAAAGAAGTTTAAAAAAAACCCGGCTCTACCACTGACTGCCTTGTAGTAGATTTTAACTGTATGTCGTCACCCCCGTATTTTGTGTGCCACTGCAGTTTCATTTTTCATGGGCTGGTTCTAAATGACCCTATAAAGTTGATACTGTTCTTCTCAATTCCATAACAAGTATGGAAACAACACCCGTTACTGACGATAGTTTTTAACGACATCAAGTCTGTTCAAACATCTTTTCTGTATTAAACAATCCTTACAGTTTGACCAGCTATAACGATAGTTTACAATGACCAATCTGTTCACACATCTTTTCTTCCAACAATCCGAACAGTTTGACCAGCGGTCAGACCCAGAGCTGGAAGAGGTCCAGGAGGCACTGGTCACCCTGGGAAGTTTTGCGGCGCTCGCAGCCGAAGAAGAGGCAGAGTAACCCACTGACGCCATAGACCAGGTGTGACTTCATATCTGACACGTGTGACGCCGCGCCATCGGTGTGTGACGTAAACTGCGACCAGTTTCAACGACACCGCCGGCTTTACATACAGCAGTTTGCTGTTTAGAAAGATTTATGGTTTCCTCTTTTTATTGCTGCTTTTATTTCCAAAAGAAAGAAGGGAAAATGATAAGAAAATAACGTTGGTCTTGAAAGCCTATTTGGGAAATTTGGTAGAGTTTAATTTCAAGTGAAGAACTTGCTAGTAATCTCTTTATTGGTTGTAAAGAATAAATCAATGATTTTCAGGTTCTGTCAAGTTCAGAATTTTGTGTTCTCTTCTTGCAAACTCAAGCATTCATCTGAATGAACGTTTGCAAGCTGTTAATAATAAATTGTCTGTGTGTGTGTGTGTGTGTGTGTGTGTGTGTGTGTGTGTGTGTGTGTGTGTGTGTGTGTGTTTGTGTCTTTATGTGTGCCTATGTGTTTGTCTCTTTGAGTGTTTGTGTATAAATTGTAGATGTCTTTACACCCCCCCCCCAACTCTTGCTTGATACAATTACGAAGCGGACTTCGACGTTGCCTGTTAGAGCCAACCCAGGCTTTAAGATATACAGCATCCGTGGAGAAAAGCTAAGATCTTAAGTAAGCAATTCTCCCAACAAACAAATTAAATAGACTTCGAGTTCGAGTTTCCAGCGTGCTCTGACCAAATGGCAAGCAGCTACACCAGAAACGTCGTGGTATGTAAGTCGACTATGGGTTAGTTGATGTCGTCGGGGTAGTGAAAGAAAAAAAGATCAACTCATCCGAAGTTCAAACTTAACCGTTGGGGCCTGTAAAGAAAAAGAGGAACTGGGATCTTAGAAAAAGATAAACTTAATGGAAACATTTAGTCA